TTTTTTCAGGGTTGGCAAGCGCACGTGACACCCCTATTGTTGCAGGCGTCTATAGGCTACAGCAACCGTTTACCATTAGACGGGCTGCATGATTGTTTGCCACCTTCGTGGTAAAAAAAAACTCCATACTGGTTCGGCTTCCAGTAACAGCAAAGGAAAATAAACGAACAAATAAAAAAAACTCCTATCTATAATGCGATGGGTATCTCGAAAAATCCGAAACGAGCGTCAAAACGTATTTACATGAGAAAATCGTCGTTTCATGCGCAATTTCCATATTTACACTTCCCTCTGAATGATTCGAACGGGGATTAATTCCGATTCGTCCATTCGGAAACATCGTTCTGCGTTACCCTATCGTTCGAGATGAAATGCGACGTGCCTATTATGTTTACTTTAATTTTATTTCATTTGGGATATGCCTAAACATATATTCTTGCGTATACAACTGCCACAGTACTGATACGTAGCATTCTCAGGAAAAAATTGAATTACGTACATTTTTATTAAAAATACATTTAGAAATACTTTACCTCTTAATGTCTTGATGACTTAACTGTTAAGAAATTTCACATAAAGTTAGCTTATTATTTTAGTTTTTAGTTAAACCAATTTTGTCACAATTGAAGAGGGTTTTTTGTGGGGTCTTCTTTAACTTATAAATCTTTTATTATTCTTAGTAATCTTTAACTTATAAATTTTTTTGAGCAATATATATATATATGTATATATATATATATATATATATATATATATATATATATATATATATATATATATATATATATATATATATATATTGCTCAAAAAAAATATATATATATATATATATATATATATATATATATATATATATATATATATATATAAAAACAATTTTGTTTTATCTGTTGTAATTCAGGGGTAGTCAAAAAGAAAAAAAAGTCGGAAAACCCTGTAACTGAAAAATCAATTAAGCTGAAAAATTTAAAACTTAATAAAACCAAATTGTATAGGAATCGCTATTACGGTTTACTTTTAATAGATGACGTTTTAGATGATACGAAGTTTATAGGGTTATCTAATTATTAAATAAGACTGAATTTACTTTTTATATTTTTAATTATTTAGTCAAGATTGGACCTTATTGCTACAACTATATGGCTATTTTTCGATTTAAAGATTGGGATACATACATATATATGGTAGCTAGATATTGAGACATAAAACCTTAGTCCTCGGTAATTAAAAGGCATCAGGGGTATATTTTTTATGATATTCAGAATGGCAAACAAATAGACGGGCTACCTGATGGAAAGTAATGGCCATTGCTTTTAGACATTACCAGCATTGTGAACATTAGAGAATGCACTATTACAGCTGTACTATCCATGATGATGTTATGTCTCCGTACCCTGTAAATTCACTGTCATATCCAATCTTTCAAACCAAAACATAGCGCCATGCAAGTACAGTAGGCAGCTTCGCACTAGAAACTCAGAACAGAGGTACAAGAGGTGTAGGTAGAGGTATACAGACGACTTTTGTACAGTCTCTTTCTGGTAAATCCAGAGATATTTTAAACATCAGTGTTACAGTATTGTCACCTCCATAGTGTTATTTATCTATAAATGACAGCCGTCAGCTTATTCGCCATTCCAACCGCTTAAACAAGATACAAATACTTTCTTCCACGCACAACCACTTTTTGGAATCGACTTCCAGGAGCAGTATTTCCGAACCGATATGACATCATAACCTTCAAGAAAAGAGAATGTTGCTTTTTGAAAGGTGGGCAGTACACCTGCAATGTTGTTGGTGTTGCGGATGATCATAGGCGGCGGTAGTCCTTTACCATCAGGACATTACCTTTACCGCATGCTCGTTTGACCCGTGTTGTAAAAAAAATACATTTATTGATAAAATTGTTAAAATGCTTGCGAGTCTAGCTATAACAAATAGAATGTGATAGCGACATACGCTACCGGGGGAAGGGGATGCTAGTAGGGGGGGTTCTTAGTAATGCGGACTACCAGTCCATTGCTAGCAATATTCCCTGTTAGGTCAACCTTCACGTGGCCTCTTTCGAAAACCAAATGTATTTATCACGATGGGCTAACTGACCTGCTATTTCATTCTCACCTGTCACCCCTCATTGGTGCCCCGTCAATGTATAACGTTAGCGCAGGCGAGGTTGCCATTCCATTATCATCCATTATAAAACAAAAGACATACGCTGTCTTGTTCTCCCTCAGCGTTCTTTTCTTGTGAGTGGTAACCGAAGCGATTCTATTGATAGATTCGTTTTCTTGTCTTTAGATAAAAAAAAAATACTGTAGCTACTTTTTCTATCAATATCCGAGCGGAAAACTATTTCGAATCCACTCAAAGACATTTCCGAAGCCGCTTAGAATAAATAACGGATCACTTATTAAGACATGTTGGACGTCTAAGAACGTCCTCTGATAAATCATTATGAGAGCTTCGTTTATATATTTGTCAACGTTTATCCCGAAGTCTCCCTGTTGAGTGATGGCCAGTCATTAATGAGGGGGTTCCATTTTGGGGCCATTGAGGGCAGCCCTCCTCGAGGCGTATTTGTCCTCAGCTTCGGTGACAAATGGGAGAGTTCTTACCACTGGAATTAACCAGGAGCATCGGGGTCTTGCGACGTACACGAGCGAAGTCGGGTGAAAATACAAGGGCAGGTTTTCGGTAATGGCACGTAGCGTTTCATCGAGTACGCTAGTAAAACTATTTATCTAGATATTTCTTTCAACAAACATTATTTAAGATAATTGACTGACTTGTATATAATATGCCAGTTTTTGAAACTTCTATATATTCTAGAGGGATATTCCCTGATAATATGTATTTTAACCGACTTTGGAAATGGAGGTGTTTGGAAACAAAAAACTCGAATTGAGAATTCGAGTTTTTTGTTTGTTACCTCAGAACTCAGTCATTGATGAACCAAATTGTAAAATTCTTTTATGAATTTAATGTGTTTGTCCTTTGTGACAATTATTTCGGCTTCCTTCGGAAGTCTTTCTCAAGGGTCGTACGACACTTCGCGTTACAGAGTCACAATGCGAGACGAAATGCTGTGACGCAAAACGCCGTACGCCCTCTGAACATAAGTTTAAAAATAATAATCCTTTTTTATCTGAAAGGTTGATCAGGTTGGTCCCATAGAAATATCATTAAGATCGCTTCAGTAGTTCGGTTTTTGAATCAAAATAGCTACTTTTGTCACAGAAGTAGTCGAGTTTTTTGTGGTAGAAAATCTAATTGTTGTTACAATATGTCGATTTTTGATAATTCTTTTTGTGCCGAATTAAGTCGTACCTTTTGTGAAACAAAATCTACTTGCTGTTTAAATTATTTTTTTAAAGACATCCATTCTTGTAACGCAGCTATCATCATCGTACCAGTCGTTTACTGTCCACTGTTGAATATAGGCCTTCCCCATAAGGGATTTTGCCAGTAGTTGCCACGCTTGGCCGGTGGGTTGCCAACTGCAGTTAGGGTTTGATAATGTTTTAAGAGCGGTCCAATGTTAAAATTCTTGTTAGTACGGTTTCAGAGAAGCTTCCTCCCGCAAATACTCAGGTTGTGGAATGATTTTCTTGCCGAGGCTTTCCATCGCACTTGCATGCGTGACATCCCTGGTGTTATAGACGTCCATAGGCTACGGTTTCCTCGTTTACCATCAGACGGGCTGTATGCTTATTCGCCACAAAGTAATATAAAAAGGGACGTTGCTGTCCATCCTATGAACTTTAAGTTACCTTAGTTGCGTCTTACAACATCCACGGGAAATAAAGAGACGGCCCAATCTATGTCGGTACCATACGGCAAATTATATTGTAACTGCTATAAATTAGGACTTCATTGTAAAAAAAAATCGCAATTCTTATTAAATAAATTCCAATATGTATTAAAATAACCAACAAAGCGAATTATGTAAAAATGTACGTCGAAATTCAATTGGCATCCTGTTATGAAGTCATTAAAAACTCTGTGATACCGAACACAATATGAATCCGTACATTCCCCGTTTATTCCAGATTATTTTCGGCTACCGAAATCAAATGCTACGGAATTTTAGCCTTTACAAGCTTGCGTTTTAAGATCTTTTTTTCTATATACTTACATGCTCAATATATGTGATTGCGGATGGCTATTGATATCTTTTTCGGTGCTTTGTATATAATTCATATATTAGTTGAACGAGGACTCATCATAGGCTTTCATTTATTTGATTGTAATTTTTCCGCTAAATGTTTATTTAGAATCTTCAAACTTATACATATAGAGAAGGGGGGGGGGAGGAGAGATTGGTAGTAATGGGGACTAGTGGGCCCATTGTTAGCAATATAGCCTTGAGCTCCTCGCGGTTCCGCTGGAAACCGTCGTGATTTATTCTTGATGTATTCGTAACGGTGAGCTAACTCACTTGCATTCATTCTCACTTATCATCCCTTACTGGTGTTACCAAGAGTGCAGGCGGGGTTATCAATCCATTATCATCATATTGTTGGTTTGTCAGAGGGAGACTTTGTACAAAAGTCGATTGCTTGGGTATCTCTGTCCCATTCGTGTTTCAACCGTGAAGTAGTTGTGTTTGCATGGCTGCGTTTTGGTTTGAAGGGTGTGATATGGCGTGAATTTACTGGGTACAGAGGAATAACACCTGAGTCCTCAGGAATGGCAACGCATGGGGGTTATCATGGGCGAAACAGTATACACTATTATGTCCATGGTACTGCTCATGTCTATAGGCGACGGTTACCACTTTCAATCAGGTGGGCCGTCAGCTTGTTTGCCATTCTAAGTTGTAAAAGATTAAGGCGCTAGAGATAATCTATTTTGGAGGGTAAACAAAAGCCGGGCAAATAAACATATTCAGGCTGTCCCTACGAAACACTGGCTGGAATTTAAGTGAAACGGTGGAACGGACGCGTTTAGGTACTCACATTTCCGGGAAAAGGGGTCGAACCTGAGAAAAAATGGGCTCATAAAATCACCACTTTATTTTGGTCCAAACTAAGCCCTTCTTAGCAGTTAATTAATAAAGCTCTTTGAACAGAGAGGCTAAAAACAAATGTATATTACAACAAATTGTGAAATCCTTAATATATAATGTGTACAGTTTATAATAATTACGATAAATATTATTCATATTTACACATTTATAAGCAAAATACATTAAATAGATTGGCTTCTATCGAAAGAATAGGTTTCAAAAAATATTGTGTTACGGCCAAACTTTTTCTTGCAATTAACGAGGTAAATGACCTTAGTTACTGCTTTTGAAATCAGTAATGATATGTGAAGTCTCTTACTAATATTGTATTGTTTTTTTTTGTACACTCTATGTATATTTATTCAATAACAACTGAATATGCTATGGGTTGTTTATATTTGAGAACCTTTGACATCTGACTTTGCCTTAAAATTGTTCTAGAATATTATCTATAAACTAAACTATGTGATTGAAAACAATATACTTTTATAACAATTGTTAAGCAAGCTTGAACATTTAGAGCACAGGTTTCTAAAGGGGGCGATACCTCCCACAGGGGGCGATGATGCCTTCAATATATCAGATGAATTACTATAATCAAATATCTTTGTTCCATATGACCTTCCATAGCGGATCCAGTGACAAATGGCGGCGTTATCTATATTTTTATAATGTATAACAATGGAACGTGGACTTTTTTTTTCGTAAGGCGTGTTGGCAAAGATTGGGAATTTGTACTCTGGTTAAAAAAGGCATCAGTGCGTTTGCAACGGAACGTCAATGCTTATTGTGACATGCCTCAAATCCTAAAGCTCAGACATCTCAAACTAGAACGCTCAAAAAAATCTTTTATTACCAGCATTAAATCACTCGAAAGCACTAATTAAGGGGATTTATGAAAAAAAAAAAGTAATAACTCAAAGAAATTAACTATTTCGAGTAAAAATAATATTTGTGCATTAACAAGGGATCTCACTGGACACTGCGTACTAAATATGGGCATGATCCAACTAGGCTTATGCCCAAAAATTGTTAGCAAATTTTGTCATAATAAAGAAAAACGTTACAACCCATAATTTGTGGCTGCAGTCCATTCATACATAAACGATATATAACCTTTGGAAAATACATTATACCCTGAGGAGATAAATAACATTGCCAAGTTAAGAACATCTTAAAATTCCTATCACTGACAAGAATCAGAAGCGAACTTTAAAAACAAAGGCGAGCACAAAAGATCACAGAGGTCGCAGTTGTATAGGTTTTATTACCTGAAAAAGCCCACCTCCTACTATATAGAAAGAAAAAAGTGGTTTCAATAACACATTAGAATATATTTACGTACAGTTTGATTCAATATAATTTAATGACAATATAAACAAACGAATAATTGACTCTATCATAAGACAATCTGTTGATGTCTAACAGTAGTATATATCAAAATTTGATCAAATAAATAAATCAACATTTCGATTTATTATTGATAACATTTAAGGGCGTTTCTATGATAATTTCAAAAAAAAAGTGTTTACCTTTTCAAAAAAGGTCTATTGAAATATGCTATATAATATAGCTTAGACATAAAAATAAATAGAAAAATTACTAGAAGTGATATTACTAGGCCCGGAAAGTTCTCGGAGAAATGGCAATACGTGACGTCATAGTGTAGTCTGTACTGTTCGTATTTATAGGCAACACCACGGTCCCATTCCGTCTGGTGTGACGTCATCTCGTTTGTTGTTATAATTCATTAGGCTTGGGGATATTTCATGTGTCACAAGTGAAATTTCATATGATACTCCAAATCATATGTCACTCCAGCTATGTCGCTTCAAATAAGTCCGAACGCAGATAGTTACTGCGTTCGGACTTATTTCGTGACTCATCGGCTATGCTCGGTAATGAAGTGAAATCGCATCAGACCCCCAACTGGGCTGTACAGAGCGAACGAATAGAGACTTTATCACAATACATTAAAGTGTCTATTCAGTCGTTCTAATAAAAATAATCCATAACTGCAAATAGAGTGCGATCATTGCGTGCGAAAATCACTCTATGTGATTTGTCACATGTGATATAACTGTGAATTAAACTAATAATATCACTAAATGATAATAAATTAAATATAGCAAAAATTGCCATGCTATAAATCATTATAAAGTGACCTTCATGGGTAATGAAGGCTAACATAAGCTATTGACACTGGAGGGTAACACCTACACCCGGATAATATAAAAAAACCTATTCTAGATTCGATTGAAGCCAACCTAGACAAGTGCTATACGCGTTAAATGGTACAAATATTATTATAGCAAGTGGACTCTTCCTGTTGCTCCCATTGTTGCTGCGTGATGCGAATGTTATCCGAACTCTTATTGGTCTCCCATAATCCTGGTGTTTCGATGATCTAGGAGATATTTTTTTTATAATTATTATTACTAATTATCTTTTATTCTTTCTGTATTCTAACACTCCATTTAAGTTCCCTAAATGGAAGAAATCGCTCTTATGACATCCAGATGTCTACAAGCTATAGTGACCGTTTACCATTAGACGGACTGTATGCTTATTTGCCATCTTTGTGGTATAAAATAAGCATGGCGATCTGATATCGATTAATCGAAGTATCGATTGTTTTCGACTAAACAAATCGACTTTTTATTCCATTTATAGCATTGATTCGATCCAGTGAATAGATATTTCACTCTAAAAAATGGAGATTCTGTGAGATTCTGATTCTGATGAAACACATGTAAATTTACAATAACCAATAAATTTGAAATTTAAACATAAAAAAATAAGTAATATAGTTGTAAAAAAGCTTAATTAAACAACTTTTGTTGCCATGTAGGTCCGGGCATAGAATAGACCACCCCTTCCTTTTCCGTGGGTGTCGTAAGAGACGACTAAGGGAGAGTGAGGAATCAGCAGCAGCATCCTTCTTAAAATATCTCTAAAGCTTAATTGTGGTTGCAAACCCGCCTGCCAAGCGTGGCAACTACTGGCAAAACCCTAAGAGGGATACTTATGTCCAGCAGTGGACAGTTAAAGGCTGATGTGATGATATATACTACTATGTACTTAAAAGTGAGAAGGGAATAGGTAATGCTAGCCAATCAACAAATTTCGGTTACACGAACGAAACCGCGCGTAAAAGCAAGTACAAAATAAAGATATGTAATTGTAATTAATTGTTTGCCCAAAGTCGACTGGTAGAGATAGTTACATATAACTAATATATATTTAACTATCAATATAACTTCTTTAAATATATGTATATAACTATAATCTATAGCTTTAAGATCATCTCTATATACTTCCCTATGTAGAATCATCATCATCATCATCATATCAGTCGACTACTGTCCACTGCTGAACATAAGTCTACCCCAAAAGGGGTTCTGCCAGTAGTTGCCACGCTTGGCGGATTGGCAACCGCAGTAAAACTATAGTAATGTTCTAAGAGGGACGCTACTGCCTATTTCTCAACCCTTAGTAACCTCGTAATCCTATTCTGTGTCAGTACCACATGGTGAAAATGTGGTCATTAAATAAAGTGTCATACCTTCTGTACTAGTTCTTCGAAGGCTAAATTGATTCCATCATTCGTCTTAGCACTACTTTCGATAAATAGCATTCTGTGTTTCTGAGCAAATGCCTGCCCGTGTTCTCTAGGTACCGCTCGGGGCTGCCAGGAAATAGTTGAAGATCAATTAGGTGGAACCATGAGTAAATTAGATAAAAAAATAAATACATAAATATTCCATATAAAAAAATGAATTTCAATTTTTATTATATTTTCAAAATATTAAGAATTTTTTCCCAAGATGTAGAAAAGATATATTTAAAATACATTTAGTATTAGTTTTGAAATATTATAAAAAATATATTCTATATTTTAGGGCCTCATAATAAATGTTTTCAGCTGACCAAAAATGTGTGTGATTTTTATTTTAAAAACTATTTTTAGCTCACTTCAAAAAGTTTTTAATTTGGTTACATTTTTCTTTTCTGTTACCTCAAAACCCTATAAATTGTAAAGCAATTTGGAAAATTCTTTTTTTATTTAAAAGTCTATATTTACAGATTGACAGAATACAGATACACAGAGGGAGACTTTGTACAAAAGTCGATTGCTTGGGTACCTCTGTCACATTCGTTATTCAACCGTAAAGCAGTTGTGTTTGCATAGCTGTGTTTCGGTTTCAAAGGTGGGATATGGCGTGAATTTACTGGGTATGGAGGAATAACACCTGAGTCCTCAGGAATGGCAACGCATGGGGGGTATCATGGGCGAAACAGTATACTCTGTTATGGCCATGGTACTGCTCATGTCTATAGGCGACGGTTACCACTTTCCATCGGGTGGGCTGTCAGCTTGTTTGCCATTCTAAGTTGTATAAAAAAAAAAACAGAAATTTTATCAAAATCAGTTCAGAGTAATTTAATTATTAAATCAAAGTGACTGGGTTTGTCAAGTTTGATGTCAGTTTTTTTGGGACACAATCTTTAATTATTTTGTAATTTGCATCTTTATTTGTAATCACATAAAAACACATTATCATATCCATTAAGAAATTTAAAATCACTGATATAAGAAAAAATGGACTCACCTTATCAATTTTATTTCCTACAACTAAACATACTATATTCTTTTTCGTGGAATACACTTGCAGCTCTTCAACCCATTCTTTTAACTTAGCTAGTGTTTTAGGTTCTGACGTGTCATAGACTAATATGGCGCCATGGGCATCTCTGGAAAGAACTTATATATCTTATACTTATATATCATAACCAATTAACCAAGCCTTTATCTATTTTTTTATTTAGGGTCTGGATAGTTTTATATTCATTGTATGACTGTACCGAGTGTGACCTTGAATCCAGTTCCAGTGGCGAACCATACAGGTAAACACAGTAAAGAATGACCCATGCCCCCACCCTCTTAGATGGAGTGTCATCCTCAAATGCATTGCAGGGAGTCAGTGGATCATTGATTATGGCAGTCTATGGGGGATGCCTACATATAGATATTATTTTTGGACATATGCAGAAGCTTCAAATTGCTCAGTAAGCCATGGAGAGAGCTATGCTTGGAGTTTCTTTACATGATAGAATCCGAAATAAGGATACTGACATAGTCCGAGGGATAAGAAAGCTGAAGTGGCATTCGACTGGCTGGTCATATAGTTTGAAAAACTAATAAATGATAGGAGAAAAAGGTTATTGAGTGACTCTGTACAGGCAAATACAGTGTAGAACAACTCTAATACATGGAGTGACAATCTAAAATAGTATGAGTAAACTACAGTTGGTACCTGTAGAAACTGGAGGTCAGTGTTCTGTATCTCTCTTGTCCAGCTGTGTCCCATATTCCCAGCTTCACCTTAACTCCGTTCACCTCCATCACTTTACATTTGTAGTCTACTCCAATTGTGGCAGGGAACGATGGGTTGTAGTCTCCTGTCGTGAAGGCTAGGATAATGCTAAAATTTACAGTATTCTTTTATGTATGGTCTTAAGAGATTCTTATTAGTATTATAAACTAGTAATTTATCCCAGACTTAAATGGGTAAATAAGTAGATCTTTAATTTTATTTTTAATAGAATAAATTCACTGTGGTACACTAATAATGTTATCAGCTTAGCTTTCTTTAGGTGAAAGAATATTTAAAATTAGCTTAGTTAAGTATTTTTTGAGTTTACCAATTACAAAAAAAATCATATCTTTGCACATTATCATACCGGTTTAGATGTGATGAGTTTGAATGAATGAAAACTTGTTCCAATAAAATAAAAATGTAATTATACAAAAATATCTACATAAAAGATGAGGTTTACAAGAATTAGGAGAAAGAGGAAACCAAGGACAGCTACTTCCAGGCACCTTGGAGATCAGCAATTTAACTTCCGTTTGGTCAAGGTTTAAAAATAAAAACTTGTATTTGTTACTCTTTGTTCTTAACAACTCAACCAATCATCGTAACATTTGGTATATACATAATACATTTATTATGTATATACCTAATATCATCCCATTTGATGGAGAAGGACAGATTCTACTATTTGTCTCAGTCCTTTGACATATCTAATGCATGTAGAACTAGTCACAGGTAAAAGCTAGTTAAAACATAAACAATTAAATGTTTTGAAAAGTACTTTGCATTCTAATCTGAAGTACAGACATATTTGTAAATATTAGTGCACATAGATGTAAATATCTATGGGTTACCCCCCAAGTGCAACACTAGTTGCTTACTAATTATTTTTATTTGTATACTTCGTATTTATAACTATATTTAGAATTCTATTTGTGTAAACGATTCAAGGTAATTAATAAACATTCTATGAAACATAAATTAATAATTAGCGAAACGAAACGCATAAATTGCGTATAATTCGATATTTAAAAAAAGTAGAAAAATACTTATACGTAAAGAAAGAAAAACTAATAAATTCTTACCTGGACTTGCCGACACCGCTTTCTCCTATCACTAGGATCTTTAACGTTGTAACGTAATCCATTTTCAGCCTTTACTTCACGGATTATTTTAGTTTTTTTTGTACAATACAAAATTAGACCAATCTCTTTGTTGCGAAAAGTCAGAAGGCAATTATATATACACTGAGATTTAAAGAGAAACTACGATAGTAATTGTTGACTCATATAAATATGATGAAAGAACGATTATACACAATGTAATAATGGTTATTTTTATTTTTGTAAAAAAATAATACAAACTCTAGGAAGTTACTTTATGACATTTACGTCACAAACTTTGATTGACTGTTAACTGACGTAAACTGACATTCTGTTATGCGTTTTGTTACTGCTAACTAACTATATGAGGTATTAAATAACGTAGTGATTACTTGCGCACTCTTACATAAATAATTTATACGTAAGATTTAAAGTTTAAATACGTAGAATATGCGGAAAAAATATTTTTCTCTATACAGTTGCATTGCATAAATTTTATTCTACTATATAGTAACAATAAAATTTATTTAAAATCTAACAAATTTATTTAGAATAGCGTCAACCGGGCAAATATTCATAGTGGAAAAATTGTTATATCAAAGTCTTGAATGTAGGTAAGGTACCTATCTCGTTAATATAATAATATTATTTACTAGCATTTTGCTCCGGCTTTGTATGGGTAGATAAATGGAAAACTATTTTATATTAGCTTTAATAAGCAAAAGTGTGATAATTTGGGTTACATTATTGTAATTACAAATAAACATACAAAAAATATATAAAATTTCCTTTTTAAAATACCTATTAGTATAGTTATAGTTACCGTAAATTTAAAAATAAGTCAGAAAGGAATGGTAACGCAATAAGACGTTGATAGCATGGGCTCATCAATGATTTTTTGATGTTCATTCTATATGCTTTCCACTTTATGTAGGGGACATTAATTTTTTCATCAGGTAATTCCTCGACTATTTTTGTGATTTAGTATTGTACAAAAATAAAATTAATTAGGTAAAAAAATAAATTTAGATACGAAATATGTGTATACGAAATATAATAATAGTTATTATTATTGATATACAAATATCAAATTTCTTATTTTGAAACATTTTCGACCATAACTAAGAAACTAAGTAAGAAAAAAAAAAACAGTTCTATAATGTAAAATTAAAAGCTTTTAATATGATAACCTCCTTGGACTAGTAAGTCAATTTTGAAAATTTGATGATATTTAAAACTGTTCCAAATTTCAAATCTATAGCATTAGTATTTGCTGAGAAATATATTCTCTGACAGACGGACGGACGAAAAAAGGCGACTCATAAGTGTTCTTATGTACCTTTTTTGGCACGGGACCCTAAAAAGGCTGTGCTACAATTATTAAAGCACCAATAATCGAATTTTAATATTTTAATTTTATGTAACTTAGAATGGCAAACAAAATTACGGCCCACCTGTTGAAAAGTGGTAACCGTTGCCTATAGACATGAGCAGTACTATGGACTTAACAGAGTATACTGTTTCGCGTTGCCATTCTTGAGGACTCAAGTGTTATTCCTCTGTACTTGTAAATTCACTACCATATCTCAGCCTTCAAACTGAAACACAGCCATGCAAACACAACTACTTCACGGTAGAAACACGAATGGGACAAAGGTGCTCAAGTAAACGACTTTTGTACAAAGTCTCCCTCTGGTAAATAATAACAATAATAATGTAAATTTTGAAAAGAAAAAAAAAATGTTAGCACATTTTCTATCTATATTTGCCGGTTAATCTAATAACTATGCTCTCTATGATTCTAACAAAAAAGTACATATTCTAACTGAAAATGCAGTTCTCTTGCATTCAGTACACAATAGAAACGGCATGAATGTGTTCTAATGAAATAAAGAAATGTTTTGTCCCCGCAGCGCATTGGAGTCGAGTCGTCTATCGACTGAATAGAATAACGACGTTGCATAACCTATCTATGGAATCGACATTCCTAGAACGTTCTGTCCATTGATGTAAATTGTAATAGATTGAGTTATTTTGAATTTCGAATAGTAACAGTTGTTTAAAAACGGCGTGTTACGATGGCTGTTCGTGCTAATTGTAGAAACCACTTATCGATTTAAAAAAATATATATATAAATATGTAGTGTTTATTTCAATTTGAGAGATTATTATTTTATCGAAACAAGAAAGTAAAAGTCCGTAAAAGAACCAAAGCGACCTAAGGATAAGCAAGCTGAGGTGGTAATGGGCTGGTCACGTAGCTCGAAAAACCGACAACCGATGGGGAAGAAAAGTTCTTGAGCGGCGATTGCCTTACAGGCAAAAGTTGTTTAGGACGACCATCCACTAGATGGATTGACGACCTCAAATGCATTGTAGAGAGCCAATGCATGCAGGTGACCTAGAGTCTTTCCTTATGACAGTCTATAGGAAAGGCCTATGACATTATTATCCATAAATTTTCCTAAAATAAATAAATAAAGTACAATACTTCTAATTAAAGAAATTTTTCTGCCGCTCATGAATAAGGATCACGAAATAATCCCGAAACTAGTCGAGCTTTCTCGATCTAACTGCACATAAGTTAGATCGGTAGCTATTACATTAAAATATAATATGTGTTTACTACGCTTTTAATAATAAATTGATTTATATTTTTTACTCTACATCTAATAACATGTCAGTTATAAAACTAAATAATTATATGTACAATACTCACCCTCTTCAAAATGTCTCAAACCTTCACCAAAATTTTCTATCGACTCCATCAACTGCTTAACCTGTAAATCGTAAAATCCACAACGATAACTAACCGCCCATCAATCCGCATCAGAAAGGTTGTCTTAAAAGTCATGTTCTCAGTACCCACTTAATGATGAAGCCCAAATTCTTTACCTATATAATTACCTAATCGACTGCAACTTGGGAATCCAAAGCCAGTACATTGAACAAAAAAAAAAATAAATAAAAATAAATAACATGTCAGTATCTACAATGTAATTTTATTGAAATTCATTATGACTAGAGTAATCTTCTGCGGTCGTTAATTTTATTTCGCCCCAGTTTTCATTTTACAACGGGAAACAAGGTCTTTATATCGCTTAGTAACACGTAATATTTAGCTGTGTTTTTAATAGCAAGTAGCACATAATAATTTATGTCTAAAGAGTTTCTATTATCTGTAAAGCAGCTTGAATTAAGCACGTTTTTGTGCGCACTGATTAATCCTTTTTTGCATGATTTTTTTTATTGGTGAAATAAATCAAGGTGAATTCATTCATGTTCACAATTAAAGGAAAAATGGTTAAAAACATAAATTTGACAGATATGTTTTTTTTCTGCAATGGACATTAAAAAGGTATCCAGACACGATCAACTTATACCTACTCGTAATTAATTCTTCATCGAGTACGGATCGTAAATATTATTTTAACTAATTGTTAATTTGTATCTCTGGCAATCTAACGCGGAAATGCCGCAAGTGTCATGGCGACCTTTGGGTCGGATACGAATTATAAATATGACTGATTACAATTTTTTTTTATTAAAACATAATTATATGTAAATTAATAGTCCATTATAAAGGGATAGGATATAATATGTAAATATAGTAAAATATACATAAAAATATTATAATGTAATAATATTTTGGTGTTTATTAAATTCTCATTTATTTTTTGTTAAAGTTGGTTTATTAGATAAATTATATATATATATATATATATATATATATATATATATATATATATATATATATATATATATATATATATATATATATATATATATATATCTAATATATACAATTCTCGTGTCGCAGTGTTTGTTACAAAACTCCTCCGAAACGGTTTTACCGATTTTTATGAAATTTTGTGTGCATATTGGGTAGGTCTGAGAATCGGCCAACATCTATTTCATACCCCTCAATGATAAGGGTGACCCACCTCTAAATGCTTTTTTAATTTTTTTTGACAATTTTTTTTTTATTTTTATTTCATTATGATTTAGCATTGAAAAATACATACAAATTCGAATTTTCACGCTTTTACGATCATAATTGTAGTACGATATATGTGCATGTATAGAAATAATGTATATGGTAAAACAACGTTTACCGAGTCAGCTAGTAATTTAATAAAAATATTTGTGTTGTATTAATATTCAATTGAATAATTGCAAAATAAATTTGTATAAGTTTATAAAAAATATATAAATAATTATTCTCGATAAAAATAATGCGAATATTATATTTAATTGAATTGTTTTTTTATGAGAATTGTAAAAGGATTGAAGACAAACAGAGTCGACCGAGTCAGCATTTGAAACAGTCCGACGAACGAACGGCGGAACAGATGAATGGTTTGCGAACGAATGGTACAGCTGCCTCGACGGTTCTTTTCAGTCGTCCGTTATTTGGCACAAATGTAGAAAACTGGGGGTCTACCATGAAATGAAATTCCGAATTTTCGGATTCTATTTCGTGTTTTTGTTCATAACAAAATTGAGCCAGTAAATAGAGCTTAACATTTCGTTCGTTATAAATCTTACTATAATAGTTCCAAGTAACGATAGTTTAACTTTTTTAATATTTTAAAAGGCATATATTAAGTATTTTTAACAACACATTTATGTTACTGTTCAAGGTACTGTTCATGTCTATAGGCGACGGTTACCACTTTCCATCACGTGGGCCGTCAGCTTGTTTGCCATTCTAAGTTGCATAAAAAAGAGTCATTTAGCTCATTGTGACGAAATTCATAAGAATTAACCACGATGATTTCCAGGGGGATCCGCGTGGAGGTCGACCTTATAGGGTATATATAGTGGAGGGTCGTCCTTCACGGCTTTTCCCCGTACGGGGTCGCCACTCAAGGATTTTTCTTCCCTATCGGTTGTCGGTTCTTCGAGCTATGTGACCAGCCTATCGCCACTTCAGCTTGCTTATACTTCGGCCTATGTCGAAAGATGTTATATGACAGTAAAATTAAAGATAGATTACAGAATCACATAACACCATAGTCCTTTAGAATAGCAACAGATGAAGAATACCATGGGCGTCACAGTATACTTTCTGATATCCATGATGTAGTTGTTCATGTCTCTAGGTGACTATAACCACTTTTCATTAGGTGGGCCGTTAACTTACTTGTCATTCTAAATATGATAAAAAAGACAAAGTAATCATCAAAGAGAAAAAATTTATACAAAACTCTAGGAGTGATTTGAGATTACAATCAAATATATTGTATGCTTGGTGATTAAAAGTGATAGATGGGATCCAACTTATCACGGATATGTTAT